AACAGTGGCGACCTACAAAAATGATTAAAAATATCTCAAATTGATACACAGTTAATAATATAAATAATTATAAAATCATTATGAATTTGACAGCATACATCCGATAAATAATATAAATAACAAATAATAGTATTTATTAATAAAAATCATTTTTAGAATTGTTCAATAAGCAAGTATATGTACATTTAATATCTAATAAAATAATATAAAAGAAAAATAATATGGATTCACGGCAATAAAGATAATAAAAACCAATCAGTACAATTTAATTGAAATAAAATGGATAAAATATAACTCATAAAAAGGTACGATCCATATAACAGAATTGGGTAATATTCCAGTTCAATGTACGCATTCCGAGCCTTATCTAATGGCCACTTTTAGCAGTGCGATAAGTAACGCCTCGTTCATCTCGATAAGTACATACGTGAGCTAGATCGAGATAAAGCTGGGTCCCGTTGCGGTAAATAGCAGGACGCGCTCGATAATAATTTACTTAGTGAATTTTGTCGGTAAAACCCGGTGATATATTGACGCGTCAAATTTTTCCAGCTAAAAAAATTTTTTTAATTTTAAAGAATTTGCAAAACAGAGCATGTGCTAAATCGCACGCATTAATTGTAAGTTAACGATCTTGTCGTTGTCAGTCGAATTCAACTTCAATAATATTAACATTATCAGCACAATGGTCAATGCATAAAGATGTGATTTTAAAATTAAATCGGATAAAAGAAGCACTGAAGAAGAATAAAAGAACGTTTAAAGGATGAGATTCATAAATGGCGATGCTCCGATAATGAAACAATAATGTGCGATGGCCCGTGTCAATAATTTCAATTTGCCGGGTGGCGAAGGCCTAACTAAGGATGTCTTGAGAAGGGTATTATGTACCCTTACCATAGCGATGCATTCGCACCTATGCGAACTATGTAGACGAGCGTATCAATTTATCGACGCGACGGTGGCACCTAAATGCATGCCTGCGTCTAGCGATTAGACTGTGCTTGTAAACAAACGCATCTTTCTCAAAATTTTTCTTCAAAAAATATTTTCTTAGAGAAAAAATATAATACATCATAAAATATTATATATCCATAAACATCTTCTATAAAAATGAAAGAAAAATATTAGTACAAGTTATAAAAATAATACAAATATTTTTTGTAATTTTTGTTGTTATTAACATTTTTAATATTTTTTTTTGATTTTACACATTTTGATTAATTACACATTAATTAATTACATTAATTTTAGTTAGTTATCAGAATTTAAAAAATAGCACCTTATTATGGAGATTTCATCGTTATATGTGCTGACGAGATAATTGAATCGATGATTAAAAGATGTAATTCTCCAGCTTCATGGCGTCCTAATTTCCTATCATCGACTATCCTCTTTAGTTTCACTTTCTTTCTTTCTCATCGCCATGACTTGCGGCCCCGTCCTTCGACCCAGAAGAGACTCATTAAGGAATTCCGCGTCGACCTGGGGAATCGCTATTATTCTCCGCGGTTCTTATGGCAATCAGTGCGTGGCAACATCGCCGTAGGTATCGCGGGACTAAATCTATGAGCTATTTATTACAAAATTCAAATTCCCATTGGACCACCAGAGATCTTCAGTTGCGGTTAGTAAGATTGTATCTACTTTCATAAAGACAAATTTTTATTGACTTTCACAAAAAACGATGACAGCTAATTTATCGATTGTTTTCGAAGAATTTATCTACCTACGTGTGAGATCATTCCGTTGAATCATCCGACGGTTTGTATTCAATATCTTGGATTCAGACGTGGCTATCTGAGTTTAATTAACGTGACAGAAAAGTCACATTGATGATTTAACTACATATCTTTCAATTTATTATTTAACAAATATCCTATGAATTTATTTATAAAATTAATAATCAATTCTTTGTGTATTCATTTCTTACATTTTTTATGCGTATCGTATTAATCATATTTACTTTGAAATTTTTAGTCGAAATAAAATATATATGGCCGAGATGTTCTATTTCTATAATATTCCTGATGATTATTTGATATAATAATCTTGTGTAAGAATATTATCATTAAAGTATATATTTTCATTGATAGTGAATCCAGATAACATTTTTGTATAATGCTGTATTTCCATGAATATCCATTAACGAAAGGAAAATGATCAAACAAGAACATAGACCACAAGTTCCCTAAGTGCAACTCCAAGAATTCTTACAAAGAGCATACATAGTGCTTATAACTCACAAGATTTTCTCTTTAAAGCGTGAATGAGAGAAGATACTGCTCTCGATTTTATTTTCCAAGCTCTTAGCGCAAAGAAAACTTATCTATTATTCGCATTCAAAGTCACAGCGAAAATTTAAATCGAGGAAACATTTGTCTTTCTGAAATGCATTTACACAGATCTTTTAAGGAAAATTTATTAAAATTCATTAACTGCAGATTTGTGTAAATCCGACGCTTGCAGTTTTTATGTAAAATCGTACGTTATTCAATGAAAGGAAAAGAGAAAAAGCCGCACACGTGCGGGTTGAATTAATGTACCGCATGTGGATCTGTCTCTCTTTAACCTTGACCCTCGTAATTATCGCAAACCCCCTATCAGAGGTGAATCATCCCCGTTGTCCGTGCTGCTTGCCATAAACGTGCTATTCGTGCTTCATTCTCTGATTTGTGTTGTAAGTATGTTATTCCGATATTTTACTCTGTTTGCTTCATTTATGATAGTAATCGATACGGTACTTATCGCAATCCTCCACTATGTGTCACCGTAAAATCAATTAAACACATAATTATTCAATCAAACGTTACAAATTTCCACAATTTAATTTGATATAATTTCACCTTCAGTTTATGATTGCATTTCAAGTCCGACAGTAAGTGGTGTTAGTTTATAATTGAAAGTTGTATCTACAATTTACATATAAATATTATTTGGTTAGATCTGGCCTTGATTGTAATTGTTTTTTTCTCACTTATTGATTTATTCATATGACAAATCTAGATTAATTTAGTATTGATACAACCTTTTATTTAATATTAAATAATTAACTTTAACGAGATATAAATATATATTTTCAAATGTCAACGTTCTCTGTGCTTATAAATACATAACCAGATATAAAAATAAGTGCAAACACATTGCAATGTATTTCGGAAGAAAACACTGATTAGAGACAAAAGCAGAATGAGAGTCAGAAAACTTTTCGTTTTTCTCGTTGAAAATCAAGAGGAATACTTAATACGCACGTGGCATTAACTATCACGTCGGCATATGGAATTCCCACGTTAACCTTGACCCTCGTATATACTCGCGATGGTGCCCACCACGCCCCAACCGGTGAACCATCCCCGTTTCTTCCCCATAAACGCTTTTATTTCGGCTTGCGCGCTGCGCGAGCAGCGCGACTGCTATCGCTCATTCTCCTTTTTTTTCCTCTCTTCTACGATTATATGGAACTCGCGGGCATCGTGCTCTGCTGCTGGCTCGTATCGATCTCTTCGCCCGCTCAACATCCGCCGCCGGTGCTCTCTTTCTTCATCCACCGAGATCACTCGTGCATCGAATATTCAATACGACATCGGATAATATGAGGTAATAAATTGAAGACTTGACACGACAGAGTCTGCTAGTGCCATATCTTGACGTTATCTTTTCATCGAGAGCCTTAAGATATTTCCCTTAAATTTTTTTTTCAATCATTTGTAATATTTTTGATC